TCACTGTTTAAAACATCACGTTTTCACCTTTCTAGCTCTTATTTAATCATCATTCATTTATGGAGGCAGAAATCTAGGCATGCATTACCTATTTAAGATACATAATGCTTAGGTAGTTAAGAAAAGCCTTATGGTACTAAAAATTGTCAGCATGTTGTGAATCTGAAGAAAATAAATCAGTATACAACTTCATTACTATAAAAAGGCTAAAAAAACAGCTTTAACAATAACTATAATTCATTTAGTATTTGAGGTATAGAGTGCAAGGGAATTAATACTTCTTATCACCTGTACAGAGTGGTATGACAAAGGCAAGTGAAATGGAACAGTCATACACACAATTTATGTTAAATTAAAAAGTGAATTAGAAATAAGTTTTTAAAACATTGTGCTATAGAAAGTTAGACAAATTAGCTAGGATAGAAACTCTGTTTCCTTTTAATGGCTTCTTGATACCCCATGTGTATTTTATGGATATTCTGGATAAGAACTTACGGTTTACAAATGTCAAGTTTACTGAAAGACAGTCTGTCACTGTGCTCTGTAAACACATGTCCAGTTTATAGCTGGATATATGTTTAGAAAGCAGGTGAGTGTTGTAAACTAGAGATTCACTGAGAGATGGTTTTTGAAGCATAGATTAGATAACACATAGGAGAGTGTACAAGCAAAAGAGGGCTAGAATATAGCTAATATTTAGAGATTTACCAGAAGTGAAGGGTCAGTGGAGAGGCAAAGAGGAACAGGATGTAGAGGAAGATAGGGTAGAAGTAACATCAGGGAAAAAAGAGGAAAGCATCACAAGAAGAAGAATCTGTCTGTGGCATGCATACTGCTGGAAGGTTGAAAGAGACACACGTATTGGTTCTAGCAAGATGTTAGTCATGAGTCATGGGTTAATGGAAATAATGTAAGGGAGGTTGTGGTAGGATAGATAAGTGGATAAAGAAGATGTATTATATATACACAATGGAAAACTACTTAGCTATAAAAAAAAGATGAAATCCTGCTATTTGAGATAGTATGGATGGAAATGGTGGGGATTATGCTAAGTGAAATAAGTCAGAAGGAGAAAGACAAATGCAGGATGATTTCACTCATATGTAGAATATAAAGAAACAAAGCAAAGAAACAGGCAAAACAAACCCTTGAAATATGAATGAAGAACTGAGCTTACCAGAAGGAGAAGGTAAGGGGTGGGCAGCAGAGGAAGAGGGGCCCAATGGACTATGGTGGAGGATTATTGGGACTTTGGTCATGGGCATAGTCTGAAAACATATCTTTAGAAGTGCCAAACTACACCCCTAAAATGCATGCATAATGGTAAACCATCACCTCAAAAATAATTTTAAAAAAGGAAGAAAGGAGATTGTACAAAGAATAAGGAGAAAAAAAATGGAGACAGGAACTCTTTCAAGAAGTTTTGCAAAAAGGTCAACAAAGTGGGATGCTAGTTGGAGATCAAGGACAAGTATTTTATTCTTGCGAGAAAATCTCACAAAGAGGAGTTAACTGCATATTACTGGTCTTTATACTACAGGAAAGGCAGAGGGACAGGCAGGACATATAAGTAGAGATACAACAGGTGATACAACTGATTGAAAGAAATGGGGAGATTTCTTTCTGCTGCACCTACTTTTTTCTATGACATATGTAGCAAGATCACTGGCTGAGATTGCAGAGGGTAGAATTATGGGAGCACCTGAGAAGAGACACAAAGGTGGGAAAGAACTATCCTAGAGAATAAAATTTAATTTTTTAAATTCATTTTAAAGATTCATTTTATTTATTTATGCACAGAATTGGAGTGTAAGCCAGAGGTGTAGGGGGTGAAAGGATTGATCAGAGACAGAGCAGGAAGCAGAACAGGCAGATCTACTGAAATACACTGCTAAGGGGAGCAATGGGCATGACTGGAGAGGTCTGCTGTGTGCAATATGGGTTAACAACTTGGTCGGGAATCAAACTCAGGACACAGCTACAATAGCATAACAGCACTGAGACTTAACTGCTACGCCACCAGGGAGGTCCAGAATTAAAATTTTAGAATTACTAAAATGTAATGAAAGAGTTGCTGGCCAGTTTTGAGTGCCAATTGTTGTGTGCCAATAGTTGGTCATAAATACAAAGTGATTCAAGATAACAATGAGAAAGTATTGTCATCTAAATAATGCCTTTACTAGTTGAAAGCTAACAAAGCTAGGCACCTGGGTGTGAACAATCAATGAGTGGTGAAGAAAATTCATATTGCCATCTTTATAACTTCATACTTTTGCTAATTATTGTCTGCCCATGTATAAATTAGGTCAGATGGGAAAGTGATATATTCTTTCCAAATCTAAAGACACTGTTGCCTCAATAGTCCTGTACTTAGAAGTAAAAGTGTCAAACAAAACATTGTGCTTTGTATACTTAGTTCTAATTATTCTAATTCAGTTAACAAGTCAGTTAAGTGAAATAAGTTGTTCTCACTTCAGAACTACAAGTACCTTTAGTGTTAATATCACATAAACATAAAATTTGAGGGCACAGCTATCTCCCCTCCTGCTCTCAACATACTCCAAGATGACAATGATACACTTACTGTATAATATTGTCAATTGCATGGGTGAAAGCAATATGACGTGAATAAACAATTATATAAATGCCCATCTGTGCTAGTTGGCAGAGAAATGAAAACTAATATAATCACTTTGATAATCAAACAAAAGAAAATACTTTTTAAAATAAGACTGTATTATGACTTAATAGTTCTTTGCAAAGGTCCTTTTATGCCAGGAGATGAAAGACACAATGTCAAAAGACAGGTCACAAAGCCCAAGACGTCCATGTGAAAAACTAGAGAAGTAAGAAGACCTTAAACAAACTTCAATGGAGAATAGACATGGAGAATGGAAATGGCCCAAATGAAGGTTTCAAATATCAATGTGTAGAAGGTGTAATATAAAATAAGAAAATTAATATGTCAAAGAGAAAGTAATTGTGTATATGCAAGTGCAAGACAAAGAAATGATTTTATATGAAGACGTGAAGCACATGAAGATTTTAATTGTAAAGTCAAAGTTGCAGAAAATTTGAAAAAGCAATTAAATGAATGCAAGCACAGTGTTTATTACTACTTTCCTCTATTTTCCAATAGAAATATTTTTAAATACAATTATGAGACCCAACCTCACAAGAGCTAAGTCAGATGAATGGAGTTGCTCGAAAGAAGAGATCAAACTAAAAAAAAGTTAACGTAAATAAACCTACTACAAATCAGATTAAATTATATTTCAATTAATCATTAAAATGGCTGTTAAAAACAGTATTAAGATACTAGGCAAAAAAGTTTGGTTTTCGTAATGGTATTTGCCCTGACAAAGTTCACAGGTGAATGAATGAGAACACGTGAACTGTCTCAGAGAATGGGAAAAGGAACAAAAGCATAAAGTGTAACACCATGTTACACAGTCATCCCAACTTGAGTTTCCAGAAGCATTTTAAATATACAACTTCAGCAAAACAAATAAGTGTTGATGATTAAACTATTCAGACCAACTCAACAACCTGATCAAAAATTATATATTTGATTTTCAAATAAAAATAAGAAATCTCTTACTTCTTTTTATCTCTCATTCTTGCTGGTATGGGATTTGTGTCCCTGCCACAGTGTTAGCTCATATACATTACTACAGGCTCTGCATTCTACAGAACCAAGACAAGAAAATAATAAAACCAAAATATGATCTTTGTACATAACTAATAGAGTAACTGAATGTGTGGCAGTACTGATCAAGGAAGAAGAGCAAAGACAGTAATAAACTCTCTAGAAAAGAGAAGGGAATTATCAATAGACTAGAAACTTGAAAAAACAACAAAAACATGTGTACTATGAAAAATGTAATACCAATAAATTAGAAAACCAAAGAAATGGAAGGGTTTCTTAAACAAGTCCCCAAAAGCATAAAACAGAAAGGAAAAGATTCATATATTTAACTTCATTAAACTTACTTAAACGTTTCTTTTCATCAAAAGACAATGTAAGTCATAGACTGAGGGACCATGTTTGAAATATATAGAACTGACAACTGATATAGAATTTATAAAATTTTATAAATCAATTAAGGGAAAACCATAAGCAAAAAAAAAAAAAAAAACCAACAAAAAACCTGTCTACTTCAAAAGGTGGGCAACTGACATGAAAGCAATTAACAGAAGATGAAACCCAAATGGCTAGTAAAGATGTATTAGTTTGCCTTCTCTCCTTAGTTGTAAATTCACATCCATCAGACAGCCAAAATTAAAAAGTTTGACAATAGGGCCTCCCCGGTGGCGCAGCAGCTGAGCCCTGGGCTACAAAGCTGCCCACAGTTTCTGCAGCACTGCTTTCATCCCTGGCAGCTGGCGAGGGTCCCATATAGCACGCAGACCTCCCCTGCCGCCCGCTGCTCCCCTCAGCAGTGTACTTTGTCAGTCTGCCTGTTCTGCTGCCCACTCTGGCTCTGGTGAATTCTCTCACCCTCCCGCGCTTCTGACTGTACCCAGTGCTTGTATAAATAAATAAATAAATCTTTAAAAAAAAAAAAAAAGTTTGACAATATCAAGTACTGTTGACGTTAGGGAACTTTGAAAATTCTCATCATATCTTGATGGGAGCATAAATTGATACAACAATTTGAGAACAATTTGGTGCCATCTAGTAAAGTTGAAAATGGGTGAATTTTATGACCCAGTAATACCAACCCTGGGTATCTGTTCTAAAAGAATCCTGAGCAAGTACACTGTGCAAGAACGCTTACTGCAGCACTAGATCTTGATTGTGACTCTTTTTTTATGTGAAGGAAAGAGATAGGGTTTGACGAGAGATATAGGTAGTGGCCTTCATTTACCTGTAGTGTTTTATTTCTTAAGCTAAGGATGGGAGGATGGGGCAGATAATTGTCCCTAATGTTATTGCTTATGCTTTTTCATTTGGTTGAATGTGTTCATAAAAGTTAAAGAAAATAGTAATCACTTACCAAGCTATCCACATCTATGCTGGAGTTTACAGCCCATTGCAACGTACTCATGATATTCATGGCTAAAGTGAGAATTATGCCAACAGATCCTTCTCCTTCCCCTACAGGTGGAAAAAATAAATAAATTTTATGTTATTTTCATCTCCTCTGAACCAGTTTACTTACTTCTATTATATCACAGTAAAGTTACATTTCAATTTTGTGTAAAGCTTAACCATATTTTATCTTACTTCACTAGTAATAAACTCTGCTAATGGTAAGCATTCAAACAATATTTTAAACCGAAGAGTGACTGAATATTAGGGGTTTCCCTCTTTAAAAAAGCTTCAGACATTAAGAGGGCTGTTGGTACTGAGTAGATACCATGTTTATAATTTCTACTACTACTCTGTGAGTTGTAAAACCATTAAAGAATATAATGGACAATGAAAAAAAAGTCCTGATGAGTCACTCTGTAAAGAAACTGAGAGCAGGACAAAGGTGTGTTTGAGCGGCATCCACAGATGTTTATCTGAGCTTTGTGAGTTTGCACTGAAACTTCTGCTAATCATATGTTACTGGAAAGAAATGGACATAGTGTTTCATTGTGATATCAGAAATCATGGATCTGCCATTTGAAAGAGAGACTGCCCTCTAGGTTAAAATAAAAATGATGAGTCTACCCAGGCAGAACAATACTTAAGTGCTTAGTTAGAGAACAGATTTTCAGGAAAGGAAAGAACCACTAATTAAATTTCATAAGTATGCAATATTTATAGCCATAAACATTTTGTAATAGGAGTGTTCTAAAATTTTAATAACTTTAGGATATCAAATTGAGTGAGAATCATTTCATTAATAATGCATGATATAAAATTATCACCGGGCTCTAAAATTGGAAGAAATATTCCATCTTATTATTAATTGAAAATTTTGCTTCTACAATTCTTCTAGCAGAAGACAAACTATAAATATCAGGTATGTGCTTTTAGTATTAATTCTAAATAGGTATTAATTCTAAATAGCATTAATTAATTAATTAATTTTAAAAGCATTAATTCCAAATAGGTAAGATCCATACAGGATCCCAATACATTGCTCATTCTGAAGGCTTAGATGAGCATAATACTTTAGTAATAACAATAATATTAAGTAATGTTAGTCTTATGGGTATTTACTATGGGCATTACTGTATTCTAAATGTTTTGCACAATTATCACATTTACTACTGTCCATAGTACTATTACTATATCTATACATGAGGAAAATGGAAACCTTAGAGAAATTTATCAATGAGTACAAGTTAGTACTGATGAAAAATCACTGGAGGCAGGGTTAATATTAGCTGTGTGGCTAACATTCACTCTACTGATTTGATTATTAGGTCCTCAACCATACTTACTGCTAAATTGCTCTGACTATCACCCCTGGTGAAGCAGGACTCAATTATATATAATATAGCATATGATGTACTGGTTTGAATTGCTAACAAATTTTTGTTCTTCGATCCTATTTTAAATAACCGAAAGGAAGAACTATAACTATGAACCTAAAAAAACCAATTTTTTTTTTCTAAAAGTTGCCTAAAATTACTGTACTACTAAGGATTTATTTCATTTTCCTGCCCACTTAGATTCCTTTCATAGAGACACTTTCCACAGTCCCAGCTGAGAAAACAATGAATGTGAGGAACCTGTTATTTTCACAGCAGCTCTGTTGAACCCTTGAGATGAACTGACTCTATTTTGTGTTTTCTCCAGGACTTTGTAACCGATCAGAGGAAGTCTGCTGCTATCTTAGGGGGCCTGAATGGAGAAGCCACACAGTCACCTTGTCACAGCTCTGGTACACTGGGAAAACCAGTTTTCAGAGAAATAAATGAATGGAAAAGTCAGAGAGGAATGGACTCAGGCCAGCACCTGACCTCAAGATGGGAAGAAGGCCTTTGTCTGATTTTCCATGCCTGTTCCATTCCCTCCAGAAGCCCAGGGTGCCTCCTGCCCAGGGTCCCACACCGTGGTCCCACACCAAGTGCTTCATTTTGTTTGAGCAGGACTCTATTCTTACAACCAAACAATTCCTCAGATGGTATTTGTTCTGGATATCTATCCACTGTCACATATAGAAGATACTTCAATACTTCCTATTACTCCATAATTCAGCTTCTTAAATTAGAAGCGCTTATGTGTCTATATAGGTTTTCATTTTACTTACAATGAAATAGTTCATGTTTTATCCAAAAGATCCTAATGTTCAAGACATTTGTGTTTGAAAAATGTGGCACTTAATTAAAATTCATTTCACTTCTGTGGCATTTTTAGTCATGCAAAATTCACATTAGAACAATGAATTTCACCAACTGGTAGTTAAAAGAACAAAACTCACCAGGGAGAGGAATTGTGTATGGGGAGGGGTTGCAGAGAGGAGGGCTGTGGATGTTTCTTTCCCCCTATTCTGAGAACTCTTTAATAAAGAGATTTTTTTGAAGTCAGGCTCCATTACCAATATGAGTCAAGAGATGATTTTTTTAACATGAATCTCAGATTTGCTATCTGACACTCTGTGTTGTAGTGTTTTAAACTATAAAGCAGAAATAGCATTGTATAGAGTTCAAATTCAAAGAAATCACTTATTCAACAACAAGGTGATAGACATTCAATGAAATTATTTGTTCAACAATAAATCAGTCATTTTCTTATTAATAAACTCCCAAAATTCTCTTTAAAGATTTTTATGTAATTTTTGTAACCTAGAAGAATATAGCATTTTATACAAATCAAAACTACCATGAGATACCATCTTACACCAGTGAGAATGGCACATATTAAAAAAACTAGTAACAACAAATGTTGGCGAGGTTGTGGAGAAAAAGGAACTCTTCTGCACTGTTGGTGGGAGTGCAAACTGGTCCAACCACTATGGAGAGCTGTGTGGAGATTTCTGGACCTACTAAACATAGAGCTTCCATATGATCCAGTAATTCCACTCCTAGGTATTTACCCAAAGGACACAGAAACATCAATTCCAAAGAGCACCTGCACCCCTATGTTTATAGCAGCACTGTTTACAATAGCTAAGCTTTGGAAACAACCCAAATGCCCAAAAATAGATGACTGCATCAAGAAGATGTGGTGCATATACACCATGGAATATTACTCAGCATTCAAAAAAGATAAACACATGCAATTTGCAGCAACATGGATGGAGCTGGAAGGGATCATGCTCAGTGAAATAAGCCAGAAAGAAAAAGAAAAATACCGGATGGTCTCACTCATAGCAGGAATCTAGAAAACTTAAATAAGGGACCAGGAAAATGAATAACTATAAGAAAGTGAAAATCAAAATCAACAAAAAACTATGAACCAGAGACAATCTATGGGGGGTAAGGGGTGGGAGGGGAGGGATTGGGGTCAAAATAAGGGGGTTGCAATTGTATGGGGAATATACAAATAAAAATTATTTAAAAAAATAAAATAAAATAAAAAATAAAACCTGTTACTCCAATAAAAAAAAGAATATAGCATTTTATTGGTGGACAAGGCTTTCAATTAAATGCTTAACTAGTATTATGTGTTCATCCTACCTGTTGTTAAAATGGAAATGAAGGTGACAGCAATGAAGAAAATAACAAAAATCATTTCTATTCTCATTTGGAACCAGCGCAGTGTTGACAGGTACAAAAACCAGTTGGCAGTGTGTAAATTCAGAGCTTTGTGAAACAGGGCTTCAAAGTAAGGCTGCCGTCCAAAGGCACGAAGTGTCCATAGTCCTTTTAAGCTTGTAACAAGATGAGTGAAAATTGGACTCCTGCCTGCGAGATAGTCCCAGAAACAATGTAAGTCATGTAAATAATGCAAAGTATTCAAGTCCTGAAAATTATTAGCTTGAAAAAAGTAATCATATAGCAAATGCCATTGCCAAAAATAGTTTTTCATTCTGTTGCCATATGTTAAGTAAGAAGCAATTAGAATTCTGCTTTAATATATTACCCTCCTTAATTTTTACTTAGTTACCATGGATCAGAGCTTATTATAAAATCACTGTCATTATTCATATTTCTTGTCTACTACTGGGTGTTGTTTTTCTGGCTAATCCTACATTAATCACTGCTGAGAGAAAATCTTTTTTTCTTTTAAGACAATTTATTCAAGTTTCTCAACGAAGAAAGTTTATATGACTTATTTTAGCTCATATGCAGAAATGTACGGGAAACTGAACCCCTGAAAATGGACCCATATTAAGGCTGTTACTGAAAAATGTGCTTCCCAAATAGCTCAAGTGTGTTTTGGGGCATGCAAAAAGGCAGACCCGGGAGGATAAGGAAGGGTGTCTGGAAAATAGTAGCACTCATTTTCTAATTCGATTTATATAAGTGAATTATGAATGAATATCCTATATGCCAACACTGGTAAGGCTCTACATACTTGTTTTAAAACAAAATGAAGTCACATGGTCATTAAAAAAAATCTATGTATGCTTTTTAAGTCACTGTTTCCTTTTATAGATAACTATGCTTTTAAAAGTCATTGCTATTTAATGCAAGTGCCTGAAAGTAGGGAAATAATTATTGGCAAAGTAGATCAGTAATAGAGAATCAGCAGTGGCTCTTGTGGATTTTTCCTGGGTAAGCATTACAATTCAGTGTCATACCTTCAGATTCTAGTTGTTTGAGTTGCTGTGAGGTGTGGATGAAGTAGGCTCTCAATATAATAAAAGCAGCAATCACTGGCACTGTTGCTAGGAAGATGTAGGGTTGTAAAACCGAGACTACTGTCATAGCTCCAATTACAATTAGTACCAACTGTAGGAAGTCAAACAAAACATGTTGGTGATCAAAGGTTTCACACTGCAAAATGGACAAGGTAGGTCAGCAATATATTTCTAAAGTTTTTCCACACTCCATTCCATTCTAAATAAGGGGTAGGTATGTTTCTACTAGAAAGACAGTCACCTCAAAGTATATTTTTCATAGATTCTATGAATATTCAAGCATCATTTAGATCACTAATAATAACATTTGAAGATTTAAAAATATGGTGCTCTTGGATCTTATATAATGTCATTTCCCATACTTTGAACAATGTTGCATGATAAAATTTAAATGAACATGATTTTTTTCTAATCTTGGCTACTTTTAACATGAACTTTTTATTTTAAGATAATTTTAGTATGAATCTGAAATACCAGGACTTATTTGTTCAGAGAATTTCTGAAATTGAATATAACTCTTGCCGTTTTTTGAGTGAGAAAGATCTGGCTTAAATAAATAAAGGTCATTTAAGCAAGTTACTTTACTTTTCCAAATCTAGTTTTCTCATATTTAAGACTGAAAAAATATAGAGACAGAGACAGACAGACAGACACATACTTACACACAGAGAGAGAGAGAAAGAGTGAGAGAGTTACTTCCCTCCCACCAATTCTATTCCTGTTCCTTGAAATACCTGGCAACATCTATAACTTAGAGGTTCAAAAAGTGATTTGGGAAAGTGACTGATTTAACTTGAAATTGGGCATATTTTTTCTGTTTTCTATGGTGTGAAAATGAATTTTGTGTTTCAGTCAAATCCATTCATTACAGATATCTCCTTACATTATCTACCAAAAAACTGCAGCTCCACTGGCAATCTTAGTAAAGAGCTAACCATAAACATAGTCTTCAGGATCATATTAAGGGATTAAATTCTGTATTTCTAAACCCATACATTTGGGGTGGGGCATAAAACCAATTTCAATAAATGCAAAAAGACTGAAACTACACAGATTATATTCTCTGATTAGAACACAGTTCAATTAGAAATCAATAACAAAATTTATCCTGAAAATTTTCAAAATATGTGGAAACTAAATAGCATACTTCTAAATAACTCAGAAAGCAAAGAAATAACAGCAAGAAAATAAGAAAAAAATATATTGAGCATGACACTGAAGTTTTCTTTGCCATGGTTAAAATTAAAAATTTTTTATCTAGGCTTCGATAGAAAAGATTGATAAACGTACCTAGTTAATTTAAAATTTCATGGAACTTACAGACTAGTGATCAGGAGTCCATCTGGCTACTTATCAATACATTTTAAAAAGAAAAAGTCTGCTATCATTTTAACCCACTTGAAAAAAATATGACGTAACTGTCAGCAACAAGGGTTAAAATAATACACCTAAAATAATAAAAATAAACCTATTAAACTTTCATATGGTAATTGGTGAGCCAGTTTTCTAACCATTTCCATGCATACATGCATTTTCCAGCTGGTACAATCAAATACTGAATATTTTGGTAGGTAGATGGCAGCAAGGATGGAGGTATAATTAAAGTGTGCATAAATCTTCTCTTAATGGGTTATTTCCATTTAAAACTTTGGATGATCATATCTCAGTGACACTTTTCTAGTTCCCCAATCATCAAATTCTAAAATTCTCCAATCATCAAATTCTAAAATACCCTCACTATTTAACAAATACTCAGATGAATCTTACTGTGCTGTGCATTAGATTAAATCTATATGGTGATTCAATAATCTAAGGAAAGTCTTCCCTATTCCATTCTTGCCCTGAAAGTGCTACCAGTACAACAAGAAAGCCCCAGATGTCCTAATAACTACAGGACAAGGGACTTCACTGATGCAAACCACAGTACTTAAACCTAGACCATTCATTTATCAGAAATAGGATCTTTTGGGGGAAATAAGATAAAAATTAAGTCCCAGTATGATTAACTAGGGAATATGACTTAATTTAAATAATCATCCATAAGAAATGCCAGTATGTCTGAAAGACAAATGTTGTTGCATTTGGTAGCATGGAACCATTCAGCTACTCCATAGGGACCAAATTGGTGGTGTTGAATTATAACACCAGTTTAAAATGCTGATATGGTGAGGATTCTTATGAATGAATCTGTAACTATTTTTTTTTATAAAACAGATGGAATTGAGTAGTCAACTTACCAAGGTATCACACCAGAAGAGAGAAGAAAGAGAAGTAGTTTAAACATTCACGAGAGACTTCTAGCATAATCATTTGGAATATAACCCAAATAAACAAAAAAGTAAAAAATAGGTCTAGCTATTGAAGAAAATAACTTCATTTGCTCCATTAGAGACCATACTTGGGCACTGAGGTCAGAAATTAATCATTAAGCACTGTGAGCAAAATTAAGGGCACTGTTTTCATATATTTGATATTTTAATTACACTAAAAGCCTTAAATTCTGCCCAAGGTTTCAATTCACAATGGATTAGAAACAAATTATTTCAGACTGTATAAGTGAGAGGACTAGATAATAGGTAGACAGGCAGCAGATAGAGGGACTATATGAAAATGTGAGTACAGATTTTTAATTCCCATTCACCCTTACCCAAATCTTATACTTTACTAGCCAAAAAAAAATTAAAAAACCCAAACCCAAATCAATAGTCTATAAAACTTTTAAGGCACTATCCACCCATGATCCTAGGAAGTAAAAGGTTTATTTTCACCGACCAATGCATCTCAAGCATTCCTGACACTAAATCAACATAAAGCTGCCTGTGAAATGGGAGTAAATAATGAAAATATTTTATAGGTAAAATAATACTTATTTTATAGGTAAAATAAGTATCTTTTAAAACCCATGCAATGAATACCAGATTTGGGTTTTAATTCATTAAAGACTAGTAAGTACTTGAGAATTTTTAAGCAAGGGATTAATGAAATTAGTAGAATGAATATGGAAGAGTTGTGAAAGACATGATAGAGATCTCAATAGCAGGACTCCTGTGTATTGTATTATTAGGATAAGAGAGAAAAATTAAAAAAAAAACAACTATAGGTTCTGAGGCTATAAATAGAAAACTTTTGTACTTTAAAATATGTTGGCTTCCCTTTCATGGGGAAAAAAAAATCACTCACCTAGACATAGACATCAGAAGGATACTATGATAATAGTTTTTCTCTGTTAGATTTCAAGTTAAAATATATCCTGTGTGGTTCAGGACCATTGTGCCAATCTGAAGCATACAACTTTAGAATTGAAAGAGATCATCAGCAAATTTACCTTGCCCATTTTGCAGGTTAGAAATCTGAGACCCTTAGAGATTAAAATAAATAGCAGTATTTGTAGAACAGAATGGCTACAATCCTGAAACCATATTTGCCATAACATTATCAAATGTAAGGAAACAGAGTAAATAGAAATTAAGTTTTTCCAAAAAAAGGAAACAATGAAAAACAAAAAGTCGTTTACTACTTTTTTCAAATTATTAAAAAATTACAAATGCAAAGACACTAAATACTTATTTTTACAAACCTGGATGAAGTCAAAGATGGTAAGAGGCAGAATGTCATCCAAAATTGCTATATCTTTGGAGAATCTATTAAGGATTCCACCTATAATATAAAGGAAGATGCCTCAAAAAGCAGTAATCTTAAAAAGATATCAATACATTTAATGCTACAATTGGATCATCACAGAAGCATTGAGAACTCAAATAAGAATAAGCAAATCATAAATAAGGACTTAAGAAAATTTTAGCATCGTACGAAGATTCTAAGTAACCATGTGTTCAAGTTATTGTCTCCCATCTTCAAACCCCTGTAAATACAGACTGCTGTAAAGTTCAGGCAAAGCCAATGTCTTTAACAGACCCCTAATTACAGATTAGGTCAGGAATGGGCACTCTTCTTACTACTACAATCTCACACTTGCAAGGGTGAGTTTAATGATAATTTACTGGATATGCAATCATCATTTTCCTATGCCTGCTCTCTATTAATATATAGCTCTCCCTCTCCTCTAACCTCCACATCTTTTTGACACATTTCTCCTGAACCCATGGCTGATCTCGATTCCTGCTTGCCCACCACACGACCCCCCTTTGCTGTGTTCTCTCTTCTTCCTTCCTCACTGGCAATCTAAGTGTCAGCCTGTCTTCCAAACTATACATTCACAATTGCTAAGTTTGATAATTTTTTCCATGAAATCGATCATATGCATAGCATCTAATATCTGGCTGGCACAATGCTAGGCACTGAGGTAACAGGTAAAAAAGTTGCACTCCTTGTCTCTGAGAAATTTAATTAAATATATCATTAGATAAAAATTTAAAATACTACACAAACAAGGTGATACTAAGTCATATCATTCACCCTCTCCTAACTGCGGGATAAAGTCCAAAATTCTTAGTTAAATATTTAATGTCTTCCATAAATTAGCCTTAAACCACCTAACTAGTACAAGCTTCCTCTATTCAAACATTCTGCCTCAACTAGATAGGTTTACTCTTTAAATAAACCTTAAATTCTCTGCCTGGTCCAGGTGGTTGTTTCCTCTGCTTGAAAACCCTTTTCCCTCTTGTCTACTTGTTAAAATTTATTTCCTTCCTGGCCCAACTCAAATGCCTCTCTATAAGAATGCATCAGTGTGAGTAGCAGCTAGAATTAAGCCCTTTCTCTAGATAAACTTAGTACCTTTAATACATTTTGTCAGCCACCTGTGTTATAACGATTATATCCCTGTCTCATATCTTGGTTGCTTGTGTACCAGTCTTATCTCTTGTTCTAGATTGTACACTGAAGAGGTCAATGGAATCATGCCACATTTATTTGGCATCACAGTCCTCAGCAGAAAGCCTTATATGTAGGAATTATTCAATGAAGGATTATTTATTTAAGTTACTATCTTTTAACCTTTACTGATAATATGTTCTTCTGTATATTTAAGCATATTTGTATAATTCCCCAAAATTAAGAAAACTTTTAAAACTAACTTATAGTATTTTTACCATTTAGAAAAAGACAGTTTCCTTTTGTGAAAAAATAACATTCTGGTGTTTATAATATTTCAAATGGTGGTGTTCTGTCAAAATATGTAGTTGCATACTTTCATCCATTCAATACACTTCAATGAACACCTACTGTGTGTTTGCATCTTAAGTTCATATAAAGAGTAACACAGGAAAGTCAGGCACAGTATCAGTGAAAATCAGGAAGAACACATAACTGTCCCAGGATATATCTGGGAGAAACAGAAATGCACATACAAGACAAGAAAGCAGTGGTTGCTGCCAAGTATAGCAGAGAATATAGTGAGGACAAATGAATTAGAAATCAGTAAAAGCATTAAAAGCAATGGTTTTTTAAAAGCAAGCAAAATTCCTGCCTATAGAAAATGCAGTTGGGAGTAGGGGCAGGAATAGAACATATGGATCTTACAAGATCTTGCTATTTCAATTCTCCGGAGCATAAATAGAAGGAATGCAAAAGCAGAGATGTTTCAGAATCACCCTATAAAGTATATTAATGTTTAGAAAGTAAGATAAATACAAAAATGACATGAATGGTAAACATCTAAACATGAAATAGAGAAGGTTCAGAACTCACTGAACAGTGTTTAAGAAAATAAGGATCTCTGAAAAGTGTGGAATGGAAAGTACAGCACCCCACAATCAGCAACACAGGAGGAAACAACGGTGCATTTCACGTTGGCTCTGTAACAGGCACAGAGACTGCCTGGGTTCATCCTCACAACGATCTTCTGAGATCACTATTCCTTCTCCTACTTTACAAATGCGGACATCAGGCTCAAATGCAGAAGTCAGGGCAAGCGGTAACTCCTATGGAGCCAAGCTGAGCCTCAAACAATGCCTCTAATCTTTCCCTTATATCTCATTACCATTTCTGCCTGCTGGGCAAATCCCCTATCTTCTCTGGGCCGTAGCTTTTACATAAAAATGAAGTCATTGGGTTAAAGTAATTTGATACTCTCTTTAGGTCTAAAATTTCTTAGCTCTGACAAGTATAATAAAATGAGACAAGCTCTACTGACACACAAGGGCTTCGGAATAAGTATGAAGAGCTTCTTGTATACTAACACTGACATTCTGTCACCCGGAAAAATAATTTCTTAATATTTTTAGATACAAATCACTCTTTGAATCTCAATCTTGGACTTTATTTTTTGTTTTATAATCAAACATTTGTGTGTCTACTTCCTCTCCCTTGTCTGTGAGTTCTTTCAGGACAAGATGGTCTTATTTATGTTTTCATGTTAGCCCCTGACTTAGTGCCACACACTGTAAGTGTCCAAAAGATTTCTATAAGAATTAAACATAGGGAAATGCTTAATAACCACAGGTTAAATGCAAATTTGCTAAAGAAAGATCAAAGAATTGATTACTTTTAAAATACTACATTGTCATTAGCTTTTGAAATCTTTGTTCCCTTTATTTTACTAACTTTATTTTCTATGCTTTATTTTTAATTGTGATATAACTGACAAAATTATAAATTATTTAAAGTGTATAATGTGAGGCTTTCATATATTGATATATACTTGTGTGTGTTAGTGTCTATATATATATACATATAGGTGTGTGTATACACATATTGTGAAAGGATTCTTCCCACTGAGTTAATTAACACATTCATCACCTTCCTATTCACCTTTTTTTTGGGTAAGAATATTTAAATTTTACTCTCAGCAAATTTTAACTATACAATATAGTATTATCAATTATAGTCACCATGTTATACATTAGGTCTCAGACCTTACACATTTATGTTTCTACCCTTTTACCAAATTCTTGGTGGTGTTCAGAAAGTTAAAAAATACATTTGGGAATTGGCCCCACCTCCAAAAAAGAACAAAATCTGGAACAAACTTATATGATCATCTTTGAACTGTTATAGCAAACTAGATTATTCTACCCCATCAAAAGACTTTATCAGTAAAAGACTTTTCTGTTTTTCTTCATTACTTTAAATCTCTTCTTAAACAATGCTATACATTGAAAGCATGATGTCTGGAGTGGGCTAGACCAAATATCTAAATAGAGGAGGGCAAGTTAGCCAGAAGGGTTTGATTCTGCTTCCCCAATACCATCAGCATCATATTCTAACTGTGCTAATTAAGTGATATAGAAATATGAGCAGCAACCATATCTGACAGACTATAATAACTGAGAAATGCACATGCCAGATATAGGAGACTCAGCAAAAGGCAGATTCCCCCATGCAAAAGCCAACATTACCACTGGAAGACCACTAAAACCACAGGTCCTACTGATGGGGGATCAGCAGTTTCATTTGGTATACCTAACCAAGTACCTGCTTTCAAGGTGTTGAGAGTGGACATAGGTGCTTGAAGAACAGAATGTAACATTTTGTGGTGTAGAATTTTGGACACTGTGATCAGAGAATGCACCAGTGGTAAACCTCTGAAGAATCCCAGAGCAAGCAAAGTGTCGGCTACTCCCACATAAATGTAAAAAACATAATAGTAGCTGGTTCTGGTGATGATCACTCCAGAGGTGTTATTTGCACTCTTAGTACTATTTCCTTTGTCTTGAGGAGATTCTCTGTAGAGGAAAAGGGAAATTTTTATTTGGCAACCAAATTTTTCTGTTGAATTTCCAATACATGTAAATGAAGTCTAATTTGAGTCAAAAGAAACAGTATTTCATTAGTCCAGTTTGTGCCTTCAATCTCAAGGATTTACCATTGCAAGAACGTTTTTGTCAACCATTTGAGATAGGTAAAACTCATCTTCTTTAATTTCTTAGAGACAATACTAAGTATATAATGTTTTAAATATTTTTATTACATTTTATGGAAACTAATCACAATTAATGTCTTTAGAGACTGTCAAGGAGCTGCAAGACTACACGTGCTCACAATTTTCTCCAAAGATCTCTATTGTCCACTGTAATAATACCGGGGCAAGGGGGTGGGGCGAGGACGGAGCAAAAATTGCAATATTTAATAAGACCCAGAAAATCAATACAAACAAAACACAATTCACAATAGAATATGGAATACTCACTTTCCAAATAGCCACAACACAACCAAAGAAACAGCCACCTGGAATGGAACAGACAGAGTTGATAGTTTTTCACTATTTTTACCTATTTCTCCCATATCCATCTCTAATTTCACCATGACTTACAACAAAACACACACAATTTCATCTTCCTTTGCTTTGCTTTCTGGGCCCAGTAGCTGAAATAATTGTTCTAATACCCATTATTTGTGGCAAAACATTAAGTTAATGGAATTCAAATTTCGCTCAATTTAATACTTTACCATTTCTCAATGAGCCCGGGAATAATATAACCTTCCCTCAACAACAACTATTCCTTGAACTACACTGAAGATCTAAGATTACAGCTAAATGTCTCAAGTAATATGCTTCGTTTCTTAAGGAGAGTCTAATCTCAGCCTGCAGGCAGGCTGTTTATCCAGGTATTTGATAGAAATAATTTTATTGTACAATGATTACGAGGAACTAATGCCTCTGAGACCAATTAATTATCAGAAAATATGAAGTTGGTATTTATGAAGACCAGTTCAAAGTTTCAACAGTGTAAACATTCAGTTTATAAAATAAGATATGATGCATGCAGATTAAAGCATACACTACTGGTACTATTATAAAACATCTGGGGTTTTCTCAAAGTGGAAACATTGGCTTGATCTGTGCCATAACAATGAACAGTGTCATTACAAAACAAACTTAACAACTGTGAATTTTGTAGTTCCTTTGATATTCAAATGACCCCTACCCTGTTCTATTTCAATATGGATTCTATTCTCCCAAAACCTATGGAGAAACAATCTTCTGTTGATGCCATCCCAATTATAGTACTAGAAATTACTCTGAAATTATACAGTGAGCCCAATAGTAACTCTATTAAGGAATCAAGTAGAAAAAAAGAGAAATTTTGAGTGAAATGATTTTTAAAATGAATACAGTATATAAACAAATAGGGCAGAAACAAATGTTCTTGGCGTAAGAAATCTACAAATCTTATTTTATATTCAAGTTTCTCTTAAGAATTCAATAGTACCATGTAAATATCATAGCATCATATAAATTTTTTTAGGGGAACACTTACTTTTTTGTTATTATTAAGAAGTTATATTATGTACTTTAAAGAGGTATATAGTTTTATGGGCCTCCCTGGGGGTGCAAGGGGTTAAGCACTGCACTATGAAGCAATCCGGAGCTTCTGCATGAGTACGATCCCCTGCCAGCCAGGGAGAAACCCACATGGCGAGGTAGACCTCTTCTGTCTCCCCCGCTGCTCCCCTCAGGAGTGTATTTCCATCAGCCTGCCTGTTCTGTTCCCCACTCTGTTTCTGGTGGCTCCTCTCACCCCTCGCATCTCTGGCCTGTACCTCAGCTCTTGTATGCATAAATAAATAAATCTTTAAATAAAAAAAGAGGTATACAGTTTTAGTTAAATTAACATATCTGATAGTAGAGTAACAATAACAAATATAATGGCATCATTTTCACTTTCCTACTTTTTTTCATTATACACTAGCCTCCATGCACTGTATTAATTATTAAAAAAACAACTATCTTTGTTATCTTGGAATTCAAGTAAATTCAAAATGACAAAAAATCTTGGCAATAATCTAGTTATTTCAATGGTCTTTGTTTTATGATAAGTGTTTTCCTATTTCCTAATAAATTACTCATGAACCTAGATACTGATATATTTCTGAGTCATTCTTTGATTATTAAATTCCTCCTTTGCTCCAATTAAAGGAGTGCCCATAAAAACTAGCACTGCCAACATTCTATGGATATGAGTAGAGCCCAGAAATAAACATCTTATAATATTTTTATGGAACAATTACCAAACAGTTCTCCAAAGAACTAGTATAGTCAGTATAATGTAAAGTTATTTCCTGGTTCGTGTGAATAGAAGCTATGGAACCACCAATCCAAATCAATAGCCTTTACTGACCAGAACAAAAGCATTTCTAAGGCCTGACATAATTACTTTAGTAAAAATATTTGGGCATTCAGAAACAATTGAACAAACAAGTTCTAGCATCTCATTTCCAAAACATTTCAAAGTAAGAAAAGTTTACGCAGTGAATAATAATGACAGCCCCAAATAACTAAAAGAGAAAAGCAAAAAATTCTTTAATTTTAAAATTTTTCAGGATTTTCAACTTGGTTTCATGAAAAACAGTATAGTCTAGATCAGCAGTACCCAAGAGAAATTTCCACAATATTAGAAATATTGTATTTCCACATTGTTCAATATTGTTGCCATTTATTACATGTGGCATTTTGATCATTTAAAAATGTGGCTAATACGTGACTGAGAAATTGAATTCTAAATTTAATTTCAGTTAATTTAGTTTATATGGCCATATATGGCTGGCAGCTACTATATTAGACAGTGCATGCATAACTACTAGCTATAGGGGGGTATACAGTAATATTTTCTATATACATATACACCAAGTATCAGAAATATAACAATGGTGCTCTCTACAGATAGGTTCATGAATGGCCATGATGATGATTCATGAACTTTGAAAATGGCTGTAGATGAAAAAGATGTAGCTAGTATTTAGAAGCCAGTCAGAATTAAAAGTATGTAGAGTAACCAAGTGCCTATAGTTGAAAAACTTACTTGCCAAAATAATTAACAAACATTCTAGGATATGGAATACATGAAAGCTGAGTATGTATGTAGCAAAACCCTAATAGCATGGTTTTAAAAGTCAGACGTGATGTAGAATTAGAATAAGAACATATTCAGGACCTATGGGAAACCCTACCATGACATAACCTGTCCAGACACAATTCTGATATTCACAACTAAAGAAAGTAAGTATGAAATGAAGTAAAGTGCCAAGGGCAATGTATTAATAGTATGATGACGTATATAAAAAGCTTGAAAATATGAATGTAGCAAAGAAGGTATAATTGTTCAACATTCCATCATAAAGAGTTTTAATAGGCTACAAAGTAAACATTAAAATATCTACAGAGGTCTTTAAATATTACTTAAGATTTTTCACTGTGGTATGGTAGATATTTTGCCTAATTAATAACAGGTAATTTCCTCCAGTCATAATAGATGTTCCTGCCTCCCCTCATGCCCCTGTCCATTTTCCATATAGCAGAGAGAATGGTCTTTTTAAAACATGAAAAAGATCACATTATATTCTGGCTAAAGGCTGCTCAAGGCTTCTTGGCTAAAATAAAGCCCAAGGTTTTCATTCCAGTCAATTGGTCTTACTTTTTCAACATCATCACATCACTCTTGTCAATCTCATCTCCCCAATTATGCCGGCCTCTCTTAGAATCCCTGGTGACGCACCAGTTGAGCGCTGGGTTGCGAAGCTGCCCGCAGCCTCTGCGGCGCCAGTTCGATCCCCAGCTGCTCCCCAACCACCGGAGGAGGGTCCCACATGGCGCGCAGACCTCTCCTGCCGCCCGCTGTTCCCCTCAGCAGTGTACTTCGGTCCTTCTGCCTGCTCTGCTCCCCTCTCTGGCTCTGGTGAATTCTCTCACCCGCCCGTGCTTCTGACTGTACCCAGTGCTTGTATAAATAAATAAATATATATCTTTAAAAAAAAAAAATCCATAATTTAACAAATCCTTCCAGGACCTTCACATTTGCCCCAGTCTTTGTATGTCTGACTCTTATCTTTTAGGTGGCAACTAAATGTCATTTCCTTAGAAAGGTCTCCCTGTCCACTGTCCTTTTCCTACCTGTAACACAGTGCACTGTTAATTTCTTTCTGGTGCTTGCCACTTTCTGTAATTATTTTCATCAAAATGTTTTTATTGTCTATCTCTTCCATTAGAATGTGCTTTATAAGGCCAGGGAGGAGTCATTTGTCCTCTTCCTCATTGTATCCTCAGTGCTTAGCACAACACCTAGCAAATACTGGGTATTCTGTGAATCCATTTTTTAAAAAAATAATAGGCAAGAGAATACTTATATAAAACAATTACAAATATCAACAGAGAGAAAATAAGACAATGCTCATATAGAAAACACATTTTAAAAATCAGGTATAAAAATTACAGAACCAAAGCTGATTCATTCTACAATCACTTGAGAGGGCTACCTCTCAAGTCACAAAATGAATCTGATTATAAATTAATACCTATTATTTAACAAACTATTGTTAAATAATGTGTTTTTGCCAAAGGAGGAGAGCATGATAAATGCTCATGTTAACACTATAAACATAAGTACACTGGGTTATTCCATCTGTATGATCTATTTGTCCTTCTCTGTATACATAGCACATTGAATTATTTCTGGCATATTCTCACATATCAAAAATATGTGTGGAATGAGAAAATGGCTGAATGGTTATTAAAGTAAATTGACACCTTGACATAACTTACTACACAGATTTCAAAGCTTCACAAGTCAAATCACACACTAAAACACAGACCATGCAATGGGATTAATAAAAGGATAGCACTTGTAATCAACAGCAGGGATATTGTAGGAGTGTATTATATGACCATTTTATTAGTAATGTCAAGTCACCCAGGGATACCTTATTAACAAAAAGAAGGGAAATCATAAAAGAATAGAAAACAGCAGTTCTCTGACACATATCTGAAAAAAATCACAAGATGAGAGCATTAAAGATTATTTTTTGATACTCCATTCAAATTATCCCTTCCAAATTATCCTTAATTTAACTTTAAATCACATTTTTTTACAACAGAACATTCTTACCTCAGCCAGAAAAATAACTAAACACCAAATTAGGACAAAAATTAAGTTCTTATGAACAGTAATATATCGAAGGTAGGTGTTCCATGTAGTCACTGCTGGTATGTTCTCCAAGTCATCAAAAAAACACTCCTAAAAAAAAAATTATGGTTATTGCAATAAGACAATACTACTTCATATCACTATTTTGGATTCATTTTTACTGTTTGGAAATAAATATTAATATTTGAATCTAAGTGAATAGTAACCAATATAAACCATCATTAATGATGTGTGATGTCACTCTACATTACAATAATGTCCACTGAAACAACAGTTTTTGAAAAATGAGAAACCCCATAATTCTTCAAATTCTAAAAAGTATTCCACTGATTATATAATTGTATTCTGTTTGGACAATTCCATGACTCTAATGATGAATAATGTCACACCTTTTATCAAAGGAATGATTCCATCCAACGGAAGCTTCCCAGAATCTCCTTTCACTTATTTCTTCAGGGGTCCATGGATGAATACAGTTTGATATTTTGGCCTGAAGGCCAGCTGATATTTGTTCATTTCTTAGTAACCTAGGATTATCTATCTTTCCAGTTATGACTTAAATTATGTAAGCTTTACCCTGGGTATAGTACCCTGGAAATTTTGTCCTTTAGTAGATACACTTCAAAATAAAAACACTGATATCAGATAGTCTAATGGAAAAGAATAGTTTCTCATGAAGTCAACAATATTCACAGAAGCAGCACTAGAACTTCGAAGAATGGGCCCAAGGGGTGCTATAAGTGTATAACACACTGGTTAGGTACAAAGAGTTTTGGAGTGAAACAGACATGGATTTGAATCTGGAGTCCAACATTGATCTCCTAGATACTGTCTGAATTTGGGACTATCACTGTGTTCTCTGAACCTTAATTTTTTTATTTGAAATGAGGCAGTGACAAGCACCTTCCAGGGTAGTAATGGGAACTGAATAAATTCTACCTGGAACTGGTAGCAATCAACAAATAACTATTATTAGTCAAAGATATCATTATTTACAACTAAACTTAGGGGTTCAGGTTTGAGAAGTTCATTCCAGCTGATATGAAAACCACATAAAATATACAAAAACAAATAAAAAAGAGACAAACTTCCAGTTTTAAAATAGTCATGCTGATATAATGTATAGCATGGTAACCATAGTTAATAACGCTGTACTGAACACTTAAAAGTTAAAAAAGAGAATAAATCTTAAAGAAAACAAAGAAAAAAATACACAGAAGAATTACCCTTTAGGAAATCTTTTTTAAAATTACAAAAAGTCTGAAAGTATGTACTTTTCAGAGTTCACCAATTCCGGTCTTCATTTGACAAAGGAGAAAACTTTTGTCCAGAAAAATGCTAATTTGAGACTTGCCAAATGTCACACCACTTTTTTTTTTTTTAAGATTTATTTATTTATTTATACAAGCACTGGGTACAGTCAGAAGAGCAAGAGGGTGAAAGAATTCACCAGAGCCAGAGCGGGGAGCAGAACAGACAGACTGACAGAAGTACACTGCTGAGGGGAGCAGCGGGCGGCAGGAGAAGTCTGCACATCATGTGGGATCCTCGCCTGGCGGCCGGATCGAACCGGTGCTGCAGAGGCTGAGGGCAGCTTTGCAGCCCAGCGCTCAACCACTGCGCCACTGGGGAGGTCCTGTTACACCACTCTTAACTGAGCTACACTGTTAAAGATGTGATCTAAATAAAATACTGCCTGTTTCATGCAAGGTTCTAGCAAAAAAAAACAAAACACAAGCATAAGCCCTCTTCTTTTATACTGCTTCCTATTTTAAGAATAAAATAATTTTATTCTTTAAAGCTTAATAAATTTTCTTACTGAAACTATCCCTAGTGTATATTGAGTTTCACATACTTTCTTTAAAAGAATTTTTTTTTTCAGAAATCCAACATAGACAGCAAATTTCTTTTTTTTTTTTTTTTAAAGATTTATTTATTTATACAAGCACTGGGTACAGTCAGAAGCACGGGAGGGTGAGAGAATTCACTAGAGCCAGAGCGGGGAGCAGAACAGGCAGAAGGACCGAAGTACACTGCTGAGGGGAGCAGCGGGCAGCAGGAGAGATCTGTGTGCCATGTGGGACCCTCGCCCGGTGGCCGGGGAGCAGCCGGAGATCGAACCCACACTACAGAGGCCGCGAGCAGCTTCGCAACCCAGCGCTCAACCGCTGTGCCACCGGGGAGGCCCTAGACAGCAAATTTCAAAGATAAAAAACCCTTCCTAAATTCAGGAAACTAATATTTAAGCCGGAATGTGAGTTAGCCTTATTGAGAGATTATATGATTATTATGTACCTTAGATAAGCTATATCCACAAAAAAACTATTTTGTAGTTGCTAAATAACTGAACCTATTTGTTCATATATTTATTCATACTCCAACCTCTTCCCAGAGAGGTTTTAAGATGTTAATAAAACAGATGCTTTCTAATTTATAATAATGTTTATTACACTAACCCTGGTTTTGACTTACAATAAATTTGATGGAAAAGATACATCTATCACAAAAGGAAACAGTTGATTCATTTACATTTTAAAATAGTTTACTTAATTGTTGGACTTTCAGAATCTTAAGATAAACCTCATCCAAAACCTGTAATTTGAATATATATATATATTTCCATAAAATAGTTCCATTAAATAGTTCCATAAATATATATATATTCAAATTACAGGTTATGGATGAGGTTTATCTTAAGACTAGATAGATAGATAGATAGATAGATAGATAGATAGATAGATAGATAGATAGATAGATAGATAGATAGATAGATAGATATTGCCCCTATATATATATATTGTCCTTCTGTTTAATTACACTCAAGGGCTGGTGAAAACCCACTAATAAAACTTATACACACCTTCAAATCTTCTTCATTGATTTCTTCACTTATTTCCAAGCCACTATCTTCAGATAACCGTCTTGAGTATATATCCATTTCAGTTAAGTTTGCTTGAGGGGCCAGTGACATTTTTCGTGCAGATGCACCTGTCCTTCTGTGAATGCTTTGACCTTGGTTCACTGAGGAGCATGTCATCAGGTTCAGAACAGACTGCCTCCTTCGCCCCTGAAATGTGGGGCCCGTGTCAATCAGACTACTCCGTGGAAGAACAGCCTCTCCCTGCTCAGAACCTGCAGCTAAGGACAGTCTTCTCTCTAAAGGCTCATCAGAATCTTCTTCGATGCCATTCATTTGTAATGGAGTCTTTTGGACAATTGAAAATTTTCTTATAGAGTTGACTGGATTGAGAACAGAGTTCTTTCTTTTTTCCCCAAACTCTTTAGGCTGTTTAAAAGATTGTTTTTTTGTTTCATTCCAGGAGACAGCAGCATCTCCTTCTAAAGAGAAACGCCGTAAAGTCTCAGTGAGGATTGAATTTCTTCTGTCTGCAGTAAACTGGTCGAAAGAATCATATCCCATGAGCTTTGAGCTGAAATCTGGCCGTAGATTTTGTAGTTCAGAAAACGTTCCATAAAAATAGCTGGTACCTTCATGTAAAATTAATATTTTGTCAGCTTTCTTTAAATGTTCCATTTTAGAAGTGACCAAAATCCTAGTTTTGTTAGCCATCAACTTACAGACACAGCTTTAAGGACATAAAAAGATACAAATAAGATCAACTTTATAAATGCTTTATTATATTAATGTATTGCATTTTAACATTTTATTTAAAGTATTCTCATATAAAACCTCCCTCTTGTGTTTATAAAACATAAAGAATGTTTTCATCATACTTAAAAAAGATTCTAAAAGTAAATATTCAATAGAAATTAATTTGATGCCTCTCAAATTATTACATGAAACATTAATTTATTAAATTTTTACATCATGTCACATTGCAAAGTATAAGGCAAACATACCTAGCATGAAATTAAATATCTAGTATTATAAAAATGTTTAACTTTGAGCAAATTGTTTAACCTCTAGAGGTCTTGATTTATTCATGTTGGAAATGAAGGAACTACGAGGTCACCTTTAAAATTCCTGGAGGTCTATATTTCTGTGTCTTCTAAAACGTTGGAACTTCCCTATTCTTTAAAATTTCTGTTTATTTCCTTTTACATTTTAAATTGAACACCGGTTTAGCTCCTAAGAGCTTATAGTAAAACTAATCTGACTTGTTAAAAAAAATACAAGAATTGGGAACCTGAGAATTTGGGTAATAAATTTTACCCTCCTCTGATAAAAGTTTCGTTGATCTGGACATAAATCCCAACAAGAACTAAGGGAGAACAATTTCATTGAAGCATCAAAACATTATATATTACTTAGACAAAGGTATCATTCTAGATTATACTCTAATATACTAACATAACTAGCAAAGTTTATATTGGTAAGAAGTTAATTAGCACAGTAATGGGATTATAAAAATAGTATTTTCTATATTAAATTTAAATGCTAAGAAAGGAGCTTCTAGAAATAATACAGCCATTTTATACACATATCTACATCTTTATTGCTTAAAATTTTTATTTTTCCAATAAACTACTTTATAGTCCACGAAATCACTTTGAAATTTTTAAAATCAAGTCATACAACCAAATTTCCCTGCTAGGAAATTCACACATATGAGCTTTAATCAGAGCTCAAGTGAAAGGAAAATCCCAAGACCGGACAAAGTTCTTAAGAAGGTATTGAGGGAGATGAGTAACCCACACATTCACCTACATTAAAACATACAGCAGGTATAGTTCCTTAAAAGTTTACTATCTTAGGAGGAGAGACAATAAAATACTAGCATAGAAAAAGTAAAAATAATTAATTATAATCAAAATAATAAACACATGCTACAGTTCATTAATACCATAAAAATTACATATAGTGATTATTAAAACAATAGCAATGAAAGAAACTGGTTTAGCATGAGATAGTCCAGAGAAGATTTTAAGGGAAGTGATCATGAATCTTGACCATGAAGGGAAGATCAGATTTAAGTGCTTTATCACATTCTGCCATACTGAGTCACAATAGTGGATTTACTTCTAAAGAGGTAATTGGCAGTCCATGGTATTTCTTATTATAAAAGTTTTAAGTTATTAAAAAAACATACCTTTCAAATATTTCTTTTTCTGTTAAAACATCTAGGTATCCAAAAGGAGAATCTAATAGGTACAAATCAGCATCTTTGTATACTGCTCTAAAAAGAAAATGAAAATGAAATTTGATTTCCTTAATATTACCTTTGTTATTTAGAGGAGATGATTTTGAATGAGGAACAAAAAGGTAAGTCACAGATGATATCTATGGCTTTTTACAACACTCCAAGAACTGAAGAAGTAGTTTTGCTATTCATGAATGGCATATACTTGCAAAAATTAAAAACTGAATCGTACCAATTCATTCCAATTAAAAACTTTTTTAACACTGAAAATCTACCACAGGCACAGTGCCAGAAAGAGATTATGAGGTTTATAGAGCAGAAACATTTTATGAACTTATTTAGTCAAGTGCAATAGTTTTAAAACTGAAACTGTAGTCCTTTTGGGGGAAACAAAGTGCCAATTTAGCTATTAAAGTTAAAAAAATTTTTAAATTGACATTTAAAATGAACCAAACAAAAATCCACTGGACAAGTTAATGAACAAATCAGTGCTAAAATAGGTGATTGAATATATGCTGTTACAAAAATGTATGTTCTAAGTAATTCAACAATTTGTAAAGTGAAACATAAATGTTCTACCAATAAAGGCTGAATTTGAATGCAAAAAAATTTTTAAAAAATTTTAACAGTGATATCTATTTACAGTCAACACCATATAAATATTTGATAACTAATGATAAAAATTGCATTGGCTTTTAAAAGATTTAGTGTTTTTGTATTACCGTAGCACTATGTATAATGTCCAGGCTATGGAAAAAAACCTAAGTGCCCCAAAACAGGTGAGTGGATCAAAAAGATGTGATACACACACAAACACACACACACACACACACACATATATACACACAAACATTGAGAAATTTCTCAGTGATCAAAATAGATATATCTCATGCCATTTACAGCAACATGGATGGAGTTGGATGAGATTATGCTGAGTGATTTGAGCCACAAAGAGAAAGATGGTTTTACTTATCTGTGGAATATGGAGAACCAAAACAAAAGGTCAGATGAAAATAAGGTTAATAACCAACCAATGAAAGCTGACTATAGAACTGAGGATTCTAGAGGGGGAGGATAAGGCTAAAACAATGTGGAGAGTGAGCAAATAGACTGTGGTGATGGACAAGCGGTGCTTTGATGATAGGTGTGCTATGGTAACTACACCTAAAAGGGGGACACCCTATTCTGTCAAATACCAACAACAAAAACCAATGTTAGCTAAGTAAAAAAAAAAAAAAAATCAGTGGGGGAAAAAAATATATATGTACTATTTCATTGCTGTAAAACACAGCAACTAAACTGCAACACTTATGGAACTATTTCATTTATTTTGTAATGGTTTTTATTTTTTACTGCTCTTATAATTTTATAATCACATTTTACTTTTTAATGTTTTCAGTGTTCACTACTACCAGCAAATTTATAGCAGTGCTGCTATGGCTGTATTATTGATACTGCATTTTGCTTATTATAGTCACAGTCCCTATGCTATATACACAAAAATTCCAAACAAGTAAAGGATGAATAATTCATAGTAAAAATGTATACCTATTATATTTTATTTATTAAGAAATAAATTTTTTATGTGCAAGAAAATCTAAATTGAGCCTAGAATAGTAGTATTAAGATGAAGATATAGTTCTATATTATGAAATAAGGTAATTTTTTCAGGTGTGGTTGTTAATAAACCCTCCCCTATCCCAATTATACTGGTTCAGTGTTTATGTTAATAGTTCTTGGCACTTTCTACAAAAAGAAAATTGTATTCAATTAGCATGTAATTAAGAGAATAAAAAAATATAAAAATGTCAGGCCTCCCCTGGTGGCACAGGTGGTTGAGCGCCGCGCTGTGAAGCTGTTCGCAGCCTCTGCAGCACCGGTTTGATCCTGGCTGGCTGGCGAGGGTCCCACATGGTGTGGCAGACCTCTCCTGTCTCACCAGTTGCTCCCCTCAGCAGTATATTTCGTCTGTATGCCTGTTCTGTTCCCCATTCTGTCTCTGGTGAATCCTCTCACCCTCCCACGCATCTGCCTGTACCCCAGTTCTTGTATAAGTAAGTAAATCTTTAAAAAAAATAGCAAAATGTCAAAGTAAAATATAAAAGAATCTTTGCAGTATAAATTATTGTCAAAGACAACATGCAAGAGAAAAAGGATCCCCATCAAAATTGTACCTTCAAGGTCTTTTTCCCCCACTTTGTTCTTCTATCTTTCCTGCACACCTGTGGCCACAGTTTCTCAATATATTAGAAATAACATGTCATCATCCAGTACTGACACAAGAATATTCTGATCAGAATAACAATAAATAATCCTTTCCAGTAGTAACAAATTGTGTGTATCTTACAGTAAAACCAAATCATAATCTGGTAAATACAAACCCAATTCTATGTAGAAGCTATATAACATACCTTACCTAAATTTAAAATCAGAATGCTTAAGTCTTGCATTGGCTCACATCTAAGTAAATCAACTTTCACTTATTTAGAAGTCATTAACTTGTCTGTGAATTTTTTACATATATCCATTGATTTATTACTTCACAGTGCAATCCCAAGACCCAGGCATGGTTTAATATAGAGTTGAGATGACCCGGTTCAAATTGTGGTTCTTCTGTTTCCCTCATGGCTTTCAGCAAGGTAAAAATCTAACATCTTCAATTACCTCATGACCACTTCCAAAGTGGGAAAATATTTTTTTGTGGGATGATATGGTTTATTAAGTAAATTATACACACACAGCCCACCTAGAATAGTACCAGGTAACTACATGTACTCAATGAATTAGTTTCCTGTCCCAGTTTTTGAAAGCAGGAGAAAGCAAGGGAAAAGAACCAAAATATAAGTGAGTCAATGTGATTTCTTGTGAACAACTTTGACAAAGAGTGAGAAGAATTATGTTCAAATAATTATGTTCAAATAAAACTGGAAGAACACTGACATCCCATATCACCAATATTTTTTAATTGAAAGTTATAACCACAGTTTTTTTTTTCTTAACACAAATTAACTATGCACTTCTCTTTGACAGTTCAAAATGTTCTAAACAAGAATCACTCTCCCGAGGGATAGCTCTACTCTCGACAATGTTAAGTGTGCTTGTCTTATTTGTTGGTATTTCTTTAAAGATCAGACTTCAAGATTTAACACAATTGACATAATTTGCCTTAATATTTTGTGGTGAAAATTATTAATCATGTTGAAAATTTTGAAAATGTATGTTTATCTAAACCAAGAAGCATAAACAAAAGCCTAAAGTAGTTGTGTGCATTGTAGGATCTGGTGAGCATGGGATTGTTACAATAAACGTAATAAATATTTATATTTTATCTTTCCTTGTGCTATTCAGAATGCCAAGATTTTTCATTTGCAGTAAACCATACCATAAGGCAAATAAATATATACACACATCAAAGCAGATATGCATTTTGAGAATGTCATCATTTGTATCAGCTATGAAATGTTATATCATTATCTATTGTTCTTAAGGATGATTCTTATTAGCCTGCCATAAAATTCGAGGTGTGTTCAATTCTAGAACAGAATATAAAGAAACAGAGAAAAGTCTCTTATGTTTGCATGCATAATATTAACAGCAAATGTTCACTGTACCAATAATTAGATACTCACCTTGCTAAAGAAATTCTTGCACGCTGACCTCCACTCAGTGTAATTCCACCTTCTCCAAGAACTATGTTGTCTTTCTCTGCAAATTTGGAAATGTCCTATTATCAAAAATAGAAAGAGAGGAATTGTTTATATTATTAGCTTGAATTTGAAAGGCAATTTTCCCCAAAATGTTATCATATATCAGACTACAACCACAGCTGAAATTTTGAACACTGCATCTCAATTACTTCAAATGGTCAATGTTATTTTAGTTGGTCAGAACTGCTGAAATTTTAGAACTAAAATTTTAATTTGTGGAATGTCACTCATTCTTAATAAGAATTCTTAAATAAAAATTGGGAAATACCAAAAAGTAAAGCATATGTATACTCACAGGTAGGTGAATGTGTGTGCGTTATCCACAGGTCCACCCCAAAACCTAATGCTACTAATATGCCAAAATCCACTTCCTCCCAGTCTGAATTTACTCCTTTTAAAGGAACCTCCAAAAATGAATAAACCTAATTTAAAAACACTAAAAGAATACCTTCCCGGGGCGGGAGGGGAGGGATTGGGGTCAGAATGGGGGGCGGCAATTGTATGGGGAATATAACAATAAAATTTATAAAAAAAATAAAAAAAAAAAAAAAAAAGAATACCTTCCGCTGATGTGGAGAAACATATTTTTGGATGGTAATGGGCACAAGCAAACTCCTTTCATACTTCTCACCCTCCCATCCAAACAGCACAATCTTCTTCCTTATTCTCAGCTCTTTATTCCCATCTCCTCATGCCATCCACTCTGCCTCTCCTGTCACCTCCTGCCAAGTGTCATCCCTTTACCCAGTTAATGAACTTCTCTGTAGCAACAATCAAGCAAAGACTGTAAGAGATTAGAATCTATCAGGAATAGTCCTTCTAAGTATAACTTGGAAAATAAACCATAGTTGGAGAAAACTAAATTATCCCAGTGATTTAATTAACCATTTTAAAGTAAGTTATAAAACAGTAACTGGAACATTAGTGTATAGATAGTTGAAATACCCATACAACAAACAAAATTCTAGAAGGCTTTCTGGAAGAGATGGCTTTGGCTTGAGACTTGAAGAATGAGAAGAGTTACAGAGGTAAAAAAAAGTTTTTCTTATTTTACTTCCCATTCATACACATCTGATCTTTCACTTGGTTACCACCTTCTAATTCCTTTCTCCATTAAAAACTCTCCCCTGCAATATTGCTCCTTTTTCTTCACAATCCAGAATGAAACCACCATCTCTCCTTCAACTACAACCAGCACTGTCTATTTTAAATTATCAACATGATTACTGTTGTTACTCACTTGTTTCTGATACGTACCATATGAAAGTTAAATAGAACTTCATACACAAAATTCTAAACTAAAAAATCAGGCAAATTATTAAGTGATCATTTTGTTTAAGATTAAATATTTCCCTGCTGCCCAAAAGTAGAGTGTCCCTATGAAACCTTTCGTAAGCTGAAATGGTGTAAAACAAAGAAATAATTATCATTCATTTACATGGAAAAGTTCTTAGTATTCCGAAACCCCAAAAATAATCTGTCAAGATATACCCACTAACACATAAACCCCCAAATCGCATTAACATATAGCAAAACCAGTAATAATATGAATAGACAACCTCTACAAAGCAGTTCCCAAGGAGGGAGCTTTGCGATGCCACCCCTATGGCTTGTTGTACAGGGAATGTATTGCCTCTCTAACAGCTGAGGCTAAACAAATGTTGAGCACTATTTTTAACTTCTGCCTAAAATTTCATAAATCTGAACATATTCAGATTTCTTTTGGTTAGTGAAAACTGATACTAATATAGGTTTTTCATAAAAGTAAAATGTGGTAGAACGCAAACTTTCAAAAAGCAAGGGATATCTGTATTTGGCAGCATTTTGTAGCCTGGAACTATGTTAGATACTACCCCCAAGGAACTGTGACTGTCAATAATCCTGACCTAGAGCCCTGAGACCAAAACTGCTGACATGTTGGAGGAAATGCAGCAGGATCCAGTGAAGTAAGATACTCAGGCCTGTGTTGTAGAAATGTAATGTAGACAGATCACTGAGATCCATATAACACTGCAGTGATGAGACACATGGAGCCAAGCACCATGGGACTATATTATTTTGTTCAATCCATAAGCCAGGCCACATACCTAGAATTCCATTCAGGTAGCAAGGATTACAGCTAAATTCCATATTTCAGAGTCTGAAATCTGCAGCCTTGCTAAAGGAGCTCCCCCAGGAACACCTGCTTCTAATATCCTATGAGATTCCCTTTGAGCACACAATCAAGACAGAGCACAAGTGTACTTCTCTTCTACACCCTGTATCCTTCCCCAAGTCCTACTCACTTTAAAAATATTAAATAACTACCTCACACCATGCACAAAAACCAACTCAAAATGGATTAAAGAACTGGACATAAGTCCTGAAACCATAAAATATATAGAAGGAAGTATAGGTGAAACACTACATGACATACATCTCAGTAACATCTTTAAAGACATATTACCAAAAGCAGTAATAGTGAAGGCAAAGATAATCAGCTGGGACTACATCAAATTAAAGAGCTTCTGTACAGCAAAAGAGAAAGCAACCAAAATAAAGAGACATCCCAACGATTGGGAGAAAATTTTTGCACACAACACTAATGATAAAGGACTGATCACAAAAATCTACAAAGAGCTGATGAGATGCAACAAAAACAAAGAAAATAATCCATTCAAAAAATGGGAAGAAGAGCTAAAAAGAAACTTCTTCAAAGAGGAAATGCAAATGGCCAACATGCATATGAAAAAATGTTCATCACTTGTAATCAGGGAACTGCAAATCAAAACTACAATGAGATACCATCTTACACCAGTGAGAATGACACATATTAAAAAAACTAGCAACAACAAATGTTGGCGAGGATGTGAAGAAAAAGGAACTCTCCTGCACTGCTGGTGGGAGTGCAAACTGGTCCAACCACTATGGAGAGCTGTGTGGAGATTCCTCAACCTGCTAAAGATGGAGCTTCCATATGATCCAGCAATTCCACTCCTAGGTATTTACCCAAAGGACACAGAAACATTAATTCAAAAGGGCACCTGCACCCCTATGTTTATAGCAGCACTATTTATAATAGCTAAGCTATGGAAACAACCCAAATGCCCCAAAATAGATGACTGGATCAAGAAGATGTGGTACATATACACAATGGAATATTACTTAGCAATCAAAAAAGATAAACTCATGCAATTTGCAGCAACATGGATGGAGCTGGAAGGAATCATGCTCAACCAAATAACCCAGAGAGAAAAAGAAAAATACCGGATGGTCTCACTCATAACAGGAATTTATAAAACCTAAATAAGGGACCAGGAAAAAGACTAATTATAATAAAGTCAAAATCAAAATCAACAAGCAACTATAAACCAGAGACACACTGGAGGGGAGGGAGGAGAGAGCAGGATCAAAACAAGTGGGGTGGGAATTGTATAAGGACTATAACCAAGATGAAAATGTATACATTGTGCAAAAATGAAAAACAATGTAAAAATACATAAAATAAAAAATGAAAAAACAAACAAAAAAGAAATTATTCGGAGAAATAATAGGAAAAAGTCTCAATGTGGAAAAAAGGGGTATTAAGATCTATTGAACCCTCTGAGTGTCAAGAAAGGACTTATACCTGACATACTATGAAGAAATCATTAATTACTGTCACAAAAACACAAAGTAGCATTATTTCTAGCTTCAGCATGGGAAGTGGTAGAGTATAAATTGATACCACCTCTCATGCTGAATCCAATTTAGGGAAAACAGTATAGCAATAAAATTTCGATGATACATACATAATTACATCTACAAAATGTCTGAAGCATTGCATATTCAGCTATTATAATAAGCCACGTTAAAAGTGGTGTGAAAAATTAACTGCAATTAAATAAAATTTTTGCTTTTTCTGAAAAAAATATTAAATATTTTAGAGTGGATAAAAGAGTAATTTTCCTTATTTGAATAGACTAATTGCAGGCCTTTGTAAAAGAAGCAAATTTTCCAATATATTAAGAAGCCCAAGGTTGCTAGAATTAATGGATTTTCTTTTTCCAAATTTGAATTCAACACTGCATTGGCTAAATCAGCTCAAATGTTTAACATTTTAAATTTAGATATGCCAGACGTTATCACGATCATACGATCATTACACAGTTAGATTTGGGGGGGGGGACTGTGGATTGAGACAATGCAGGATTCTAGCTAGAGCCAGCGTTAAATAAAGATTTGTGAAATGAAGGAAGGAGAATGGAGGAAGGTGAGGTCACCAAACCTCAAATTACAAAGAAAGTGGTTCAGTAGGAAAGAAAGTGAAGAGAGGTATAGAGAGTAGAGAAAGAAAGTAAATGAATGGAGAGGAGGAAGGAATAATTGTTAGAAGTAGGTATCTGTAGGAAAAAAGCAAGAAGATATTGACAGAAGAAGTGAGACACGTGATGAGGAAGATAGAAGATGACAGAGGATACTGAACTGTGGTAATATCTCTTTAGTAAATAACCCTACTGAATTAAATGTCCGAAGAATACAAATTTTCTCTTCTTAAGTCAGAATAATAGAATGGTTTAACCAAATTTCTCTCTTAAGAGCCTGTAATATTTACACAAACCAGGGAAAGATAAGGATGGGGACAGGAAATAAAACATTCTCTTCCTTCTTTCCTATGTGAATAAGTGAAACAAAATATTACAGAAAGAAATCAGAATATCCTGCAGTGAGCTCCAGCTTTATAAGTTCAGATAAAATGGAACAACATCAAATTCTTCAAAAGAGGACCAGAAATAGCATTCCCTTTGTATCACGCAATCAAATCCTGACTTGAAGCTGGTCAAGGGAAGAAAGGAGAAAACGCTTTAAAAAAAAATAGGAATCAAGAAAGAAATTGCTAAATGGTTTCTTGATACTGTGTTGCTCTGTTGGTTTCATTATAACCACATGCTCTCCAATTCCTTTGTATTTTCAGAGCAGTATTAATCCTAAACTCCTGTGATAATTTACTGGGCCCAGTGTCTGCTCTTCCCAGCATCCTCAGTCAGTAAACCAAGGG